GAGGGGACAAACCTAACGAACTACATCGGTTTTCGGGAAGCTTCTGAACAGTTCATTGTGCACCGACCGGAGGTATGGGAACAAAGGACATGAAAAATGTTTACGAACTTCAAGGGCGTCCCATTTAGGAGTTAAACTATCCACAAGATTAAAGGCTCGTTTAAAGACTAGGAAAACCGCGATTGTTGGTGGCAGCATATGTGGCTTTGCTCAAGTACTGGAGGCAAATATATGATCACCTTCTGCTACAAGGAAATCCTGCTTGATGCTCTCAGACTTGCGTCTTATACCGAATACGGCCGTCGCAAATTAAGGGAATCCAGTAGCCGTGTTATGATTGTGTTAGGAACAGTCGGTTAGACATGAACAAGAAGCTGTTTTTCGTGTAATCTCTGACCTCAACCTACATCCGTTTACTGGCGAATCCAATCTAGAAAATAGTTTAACGAGACAACCGGAATAGTCTGCACGTTTAGTTTGGACAATAGTTCGATCGACTTTTCCACGACGTTTATGTTATCACTTCTTATGTGTCACACAACGGATCATATAGTTAATTCGTGACACATCTACCTTACGGATACTAGCTGAAGACTGCTGTTGGTACTATTGGTGCATGACGCACGCAATAGACCAGACCTTGGTTTGTCATAACGCTGAGATAGCCTGATGATGTCTCCTCGTATGGTGACGAAACGTTTGCAAGCCAATTGCCAAGCTCGGCGAACAGATCAACAGCCACCTGATCAAAAACCAATAAACTCACCCGAGCTACCAATATTCCAACAAATTCCCAATTGAAGTAGTATTGATCGCATTGTCAACAATAGCGTGATTTCTCCAGTCTTCAAATTGAGGTTGGTCATAAATTCAGTAAAACAAGTTTTGAAGTTAGATGGGAGCGGAGAAAACCGAGCGGTCTAAATATGCTGATGCTACCCGAATACGGATTGGTACAGGTGAGTGTTAAATGTACCTGAAATTTGAAAAACCGATAATTAAAATTATGATGTGATCGCCGTCTCTTCACCAACGGTTTATAGTTTGAAAACGGAACTGGTCTGGTTTCGCTCCGAACAACAAAGGGGTACGAAAACGTGACAAACATGGAGTGCAGCGTTAGTCTAAACAGACAAGCAAACCATGACATGTTTATAAATAGCTGCACGAACTGTAGCGAATTTCAGTCGGCTGTGCTTGTTAATCACTTCTACGTTAAGCGAAATACACTCATTTGCATACGGATTTGGTTTTGACGGGAAACTCACCTGGAACCCAGGTGAATTTCTTTTTCATGATATTTCTATCTACGTCTAATTTATTTGTCCGGGTGTCTCTCAGAAAGTAGTTAATCTAAATCGTGATACTTTGCAACTCATAATACACAAGAAACATCATCAACGACCAATAATACATGCGGACGATTAACTATCATGCAACCATGAAAGGCGAGAGGAAGAACAGAATGGAACGGACTTAGTGTGAAGAAGTTATGTTTCCCTAGGTAAAATGACGAAAAATGTGCCCACTTCTCTTAACAGCTATAAAATGGGCGTCTGAGCCTCATGCTGAATTAAGACACCTTCGGCGGGAATGGTCCGGTGTCCACTGCGAACCTCATTTGACATGGTCCAAGCATCCGAAAACAGGCAAACCTCAGGGTAGACAGTCCTGTTGGGACATAACAGCGTAGGTGATTGGTTGCGCACACTGTCCTCCATGGTTTCCATCCACGTAAAAGCAGGATCACCTGAACTCCAACCAGGAGGGTACGAGTATGCCGCATCACTCAGCTTGACGGTGACCGCTTCCACTCAAAGTTAATGTGTCACGATCTGTTCCCCGCGAACTTTAATGAGCCGAGGTTTGGGACAAAAAAACGCCTCACTCTGGAGGCGGTGGTTGGGCATACTCGTTAAATGCCCCAACCGCTTCGGCCTGGTGGGTGCTGCTATAACGATTCTGATTAGTCACTAAGTGCCCACTTACGCATTTCCTCGTTGTGTACTAAATGCAGTCAGCTAACTCTAGCTATGCTACAGGAACACTTGTGAATGAACGTTTAGAAGTTCCTAAGGTCCTCGGATAAGGAATGTCAAATATCACAACAGGAAAGTAACATCGCTCTTAAAGTTGCCATGTGTAGACGACTCTGAAGCGCCAGCGAGGCCATAAACGACACAAGTTGGCAAACTTCGCTCGTTCTGAGTATCTACAGACGGACTCCTATTATAGTTATTGATGTTAATGTTTCAGAGGAATACAGCAGAATGGGAAACCTCGTGATAATCCAAATCAACTAATCTCTCTCCAGACTGAATCTCGATGCGCAGTCCCTTTTTAAGTATGTATTGCATGACGAGATTGAACAAAAGAGGGGACAAACCTAACGAACTACATCGGTTTTCGGGAAGCTTCTGAACAGTTCATTGTGCACCGACCGGAGGTATGGGAACAAAGGACATGAAAAATGTTTACGAACTTCAAGGGCGTACCATTTAGGAGTTAAACTATCCACAAGATTAAAGGCTCGTTTAAAGACTAGGAAAACCGCGATTGTTGGTGGCAGCATATGTGGCTTTGCTCAAGTACTGGAGGCAAATATATGATCACCTTCTGCTACAAGGAAATCCTGCTTGATGCTCTCAGACTTGCGTCTTATACCGAATACGGCCGTCGCAAATTAAGGGAATCCAGTAGCCGTGTTATGATTGTGTTAGGAACAGTCGGTTAGACATGAACAAGAAGCTGTTTTTCGTGTAATCTCTGACCTCAACCTACATCCGTTTACTGGCGAATCCAATCTAGAAAATAGTTTAACGAGACAACCGGAATAGTCTGCACGTTTAGTTTGGACAATAGTTCGATCGACTTTTCCACGACGTTTATGTTATCACTTCTTATGTGTCACACAACGGATCATATAGTTAATTCGTGACACATCTACCTTACGGATACTAGCTGAAGACTGCTGTTGGTACTATTGGTGCATGACGCACGCAATAGACCAGACCTTGGTTTGTTCACTGAAGGGACCAGATGGTCATAACGCTGAGATAGCCATGTTTCAACCCTCAGCCCGGAGAGCGTGTTGGTTAAACCTCCAAACAACCTGGTACGAGAGACTCTGCGAGTGTCACATGGACCTAGGATGCACACAAACCGTCACACCACGGTAAGGTCATGTTTCTTCGTGACGGTATCCCACAAAAAAGACAGAAGCAGTCACAGTATTTGGGATAAATTGCGTTTCAGGTCCTCGCTAACACGCAGCAGTCAGCTACACACTCCGTCGGACGTTCATCGGTGCTATATAATTTAATCATGTTGTAGTATAGTACTGGTGGTGCCTTGAGACTGGAGATAGATTTCAAGCAAAATTTGAGATCCAAGCCTACATCAGCATCTATATTGCAATTCTTTGATGATGACATTTCTTTTCCATTTTATACCCATGGTCATCCAAGCTGTCTACTTTTCCGATATTCTAAATAATCATCCCAAGCTATCTGGATTCTGGGAAAATGGGTTAGACAGTTAACCTTCCCTTGACCTACTAATCACCCGGTATGTTGAAGTTAGCTCGCAACGTGCGGATTGGTCCGCAGTCATTGCAGCAACCTTCCTCCCATGGTATATGGGTGAAGCTTAGCCAAATCGTTGTTCCACAGGGCAACAAATGAACCACCGAAACTCCAGTACCTTACATAGCAAACCAAACTCTTGACACAATCAGGTCACCATAGCTATTAAGACTGGATAAATCCAAACCTAAACCTCAGACCGTTTTAAAGCGGACCCAGGTAGACAGTTGCACCTGGTCTCGACAGACCAGAGGATTAAGTTCCGATGCAGGTATTAGAGTTTCGTTGATCAGCCTGTGTTGCAATTCATTCATAACTTCACTTTCGTGTGTGTTGATATCTGTATCTTTAGAAATGATTGATGCCTTTCTGTCCAGACGTTACAGCCTAGTCGTAAGGTTGCTGAAAACTCCCACTGGAAAGAACCCACGACTTGTTCCGCCCTTCTTGGGGCTTACCAGGCGGACAAAGTCCTCGACAACCTTGTTTTACTTGAACCCAAATTAGGATTTCGACAAATACCGTCACTCGTATAGAAAATTGGCCTTGATAGGAGACCCAACCGAATCCAGCTGAATATTTCGTATACGATGATCCGCTTCGACTAAATGTGCTGCATCCAGTAGCTTCATGTTTTACTTGGTACGACATTCGAGATATCGCAATACGTTATTGTCTGGACGTAACACCGTGCTCAGCGAATCTGGGAACACATTACAGATAGCTAAAGGTCCAAAAGCGCAACGGATGAAAATACCAGCAACCAGACAACAGAACACATCTCCGAGACAGGGCTGTGGTCATGCTTTCATCATTCATCATCAAACCGCTAGGTTCCGGTGAATCGACGTATGGACAATCAAACCGCTAGGTTCCGGTGAATCGACGTTGATTATAACATACAGTGACCCGAACGTGCACAAGAACTACTGACCAAACCCTTACACTAAAACCAACTTAACTTAACTTACTTAGGAACAGTGAATTTTGCGCATCTGTGACTGATGAAAGTAATTCGGAGTATTGAGGCTCTGTGATCTGGCCCTTCGGATATCGCAAAGGCCAGTTTAAAGCTATACGACGGAAATGCGTGCAGCGCCTCGCTCGGCTCCGCACACCCTGTGGCTCTGAGTATGCCAGTGAGCTGGACAGTAACGGACGGAAGACGGCCATCAAAAAGGACTACATGCATTCAGATCGAAAGTTGGGTGTTCATGTTTGACTGCAGCAGACTCTGATGTCAGAAATTGTCCCCCAACCATCAACGAGAGTTGTCGCCTAATTCCTAAGACAGTAGACTGCACCTGAGGAGCTTGCAAAGTGGTACGATCAATCATTTCATAGCTGGATACGATGTCAGCAGCTGTTCTTTTGAAGTTCACCACCCATAAGTCAGGTCACACTTACAGACACGCGATTGAAGACAAACAACTAAGTGCTCCTGTAATTTCAAAACAGAAAGACCAATTTGTGGATGGAAATCGGAGTGCAAAAAAGAGATTAAGGATGAAAATGGAAGCACGAGTGCAGCGTCTGATCTGCAGTAAAATTCGACGAATGTTGAATCATCTAAGTAATGCTTCTAAACAGCAAATGAAGAGTTCGTAAATCAACGCATATAGGTAAAAAAAACTTCGTGGGAAGTCATGAAACAGATCGGTCAGAAGGGTTATATTCGTTGTTGCTGTTTTTTTATGGCTTCGAGGACTTGCACAGCAGCCTCTGGAATACGAGTTCCTGGTCCGAAGACACAGGCTACCCCATTTTCCAGTAGGAATTCGTAGTCTTGGGGTGGGATTACTCCGCCAACGACCACAACAATATCTCTGAGATAAGAAACGAAAATTGAAAAAAAAACTGACTAGACTGGATATACGAAAAAATGCATATTGTTATGATCAGCGTTACCAGTAGACGACACAGACAAGATGAATAAGACGAGTGCGTTCGAATGGTGGTTAGGCTTTGCGCCTGAAAAAGAGGTTAGTTAACTACCATCAGGAAGGCTATGGGTTTGAATCCTGCCCAAGATTCTCAACATGCTGGGTGTGAGTGATACCCATTGAGATTTCCTATATTCACAATTACTTCCATAAATCCTCAATGCATGTGAAATAAATACACTGGTTGCATCCCGACAATTCGCTCTTACTACTGTTCTCCAGCATAAACTGACACCGTCATAAGAGCTAAACGAACAGTACACTCTGTTGGAGTATCAGTTGAATGACCTGCCGGTTTGGATACCACAATTCAAGCATTCGGATTGAAAAAGACAAGCTGGCTGATACGTCACCGAAGCGTATCAATCTAAGACAAGAATATCAATTTTTGTTGGTGAAAGGGACAGACTAATGCTCCGTGAGCAGAAGGAAACAGGTAGATGATCCTAGCCTTGATTCACACTACCTTCTGTTTACTGTAACACAACACCGTTCAGCGGCGTGTTTCGCAGCCTTGGGAGTTTAGAAGACAGCTGTTATTCTGAGGAACAGTATCGGAAGACATCCTTTTTTGTAGCTTGTGGTCAAGCTCCCGCACAAAGGTGTTGAAAGCGAGTGGACCACAGGGTTAGGCTGAGAAACTGTGCTTCGTAAAAGCGGCTAATCCCTATGTAGAAGTTGAACTGTCTACACGTTGTCAAAGGCCACCGTTACAAGTAGTGGATTCATTTTTTGAAAATTTGAGATCTGTGTTCAACGGAATATGAAGCTAGAAAAAAGTAAGTAAACATGTTTAAGTTCAAAGGATGGATTTCAATGGATAAAGCCAAATGTCTCATTGAATAAAAGATATCTACACTGCAGATCAACACAAAGGTGGAGTGTTGAACTCAAACTTGCGTTCGAGACATGGAGGATGACGAGGCCCCGGTGCTTCCCTGTTGAGCGTTAAACACAAAATTTCCCCGAGGGTTGGCATGTGTTCGACTATAACTCGTAAACGAAAACTTTGTAAGCCTTTATGGTGAATTGAATATTAGGTTAAACTGACCTGAGTTATCTGCACGTTTGGGCTGCTCATAATAGTCAAGTTGAAATTTATAAACCAACTTGACTATTTGGCAGTGGATTTGTGAGCTCGCGCCGCGACATGGCCGGGAAGAATTTGCATGCAACATACTGCTACACAGTATGTCATATTTCTGTGAACTCAGTGGTTAGCTCAGTGGTTAAGGCTCGAACATGCTGATCGTTAAGTCCACGGTTCGAACCCAACATCAGCACTTCAACTGCTCCCCTCTAGGCTTGAACAACTTGGCAGTACCTCAGCCATCATGCTTCTTTCGGGTGGCATGACAGGAAGGCAGAGAAAGCATTAATGCTGAATTATTATTATTATTATATTTCTGCGGAATCACGCATAGTTGAGTGGCTTTCGTGGAAAAGAATAATCCACCCTGCGTTTAGCAAGATGCATACAGTTGTTCGAAGTATACCTTTTGACAGTCAAGAACCATGATGTTATCAAGCTACAATAACGACCGTGTCAAAATCTCTCCAGTCATTCACGTTTTCCCTGACGGAAATCTGGCGCTGTCGTAATTTACCGAGGCAGCGGAGCTGCGTTTTGGTTACACTTCTGTACTTACTTGAATATTTACCCAGTACGCATACTCGATTTCCAGAAAACTACGGTTTTATCGAAGATGCTACTTTGTAAAACAGACTTCGAAGAAACCACTGCTATGGGCACTGTCTAGACTTGATCACACTTATACAGTTGGACAACGAACCGCTACTGATGTCATGGGTCTGTCACTCAACTCGCTAGCGACCACGACCTACGATTTGAAGAGCACACGATATAGACAAGTGGACACACGATAAACAATTGAAAAGTACCGCAGTTCTATTAATTACCAGCGATACTATAAGCCTTCGTTGATTATTCCTACAAGTTCACATTGGTTAAGCAGTGTCCTTTTTTCACCTTCACGACTGAAAGACGTGATACTCTAAAGACCTAAGGAAGCACGGCTGAGTTAACCGCTATACAGTCATGGTGCCACCGAATGATTAAGCCGATCAACAACTGGAAATGTACACGGCGTTCACTAGAAAATTTACACCAATCACACTGTTTAGCTTACGTTCCAAGTTACATTTTTCGTCGCAATACACAGCACACTAATTTGTATAGTAGGCTAATTTGTCAACCTCTTCAGTTAGTACTGGGAAGACCGAACAGAACAAAGCTTAGCGTTAGGATATTCTAGCTCGCCATAACCAAATAGGCATAAAATTCCAAATGAAGTGGTATTGACGTTCTTTGGTTTACAAGTGAGGATGGTTCTTTCTAAGAAGCATTGGGGCCAAAATGTGTGAAAATCGCATGTCATTTTTTCGAGGAAGAGGGGTAACAACGTATGTATCAATTTAGATGTAAATTTCGTAGGACTGGAGGGTTCTCCCATCTGGAAGCGCAAATTGAGGGTCCACGGCTGGGTGAGTTTCAACGCATTTTCAGTGTCTGACAGTTTCTGCGGGCCTCATGTGCTCAGTTGGATGCTAACTGTTTTCAATAGGCACCACTATGAGTGAATCCCACTTACTTGTGAGGTTAACCAAGTGGCTACACAATAGGTACGGTGTTTCATTAAAAAAAGCCTGCGCCATTTGCCGAGATGTGCAGTGGTTTCGTTTTTAATCGAGTTATTACTTTAAAGGGCTCTTTGGGGGGTCAGATTAGCGTCAGCTCTTCCAGACAAACCTGTAAGTGTTCATGTGACCCGAGTACGCTAACCTGGATTGACTTGACTGCATTTCGAATGTAATGATGAAACTTACTAAAGCACACTAGGGAGTTCGGCTAGTTAGGTACGATGTCTTTTATCGGTCAACATTGGCTGGAACGCACTGTGAGAGATGTTTCACTGGCCCCGGAGAAAGACATCGAAACACACAGCCTATCTGAGTTACGGAGCATTTGAAAATGACGGGAATGTTAATGATAGAACGACCTATCACTTAGGTGAAACGGAGCTTCGAGTGTGCCTTATGAAACAGACGCGGCCCGACGACAAGTGATAAATTCAGAAACTATGATATCAATGAGAACAGGTGTCCTAGGGACAAGAATACTGCCTATCGCAAGGCCCACTGCAGCGTCACAAAGTACTCAAAATCAGGCCGAAAAACTGACAATTCGAAGGTCGTTTGGGACTAAGAGTCTATGTGAACTTCTCAGTGAGTGGCTGGAAACACGTAACGATATGGAAGTTATGACAGTGACGTTCAGGTTGTCAGTTTTCAGTAAGATTGTCCGACTGAGTACTGGAGGTGTAGACACCCCGGATGTTCGCGGTAGACCAGCCCTAGGTCCCCCTGACTGCCCCGTTTTCCCTCTTTCCATTATATGGCTTTATCCACATAAATGAACATGGCTGTATGGCAGTGAAGCACCAGTATTTTTATCTGGTGTTATTGACAATAGTTGTGACGATGATATTCGAGACGAAGAAAGTAGCACCAAACCGGGCAAGCTATTAGGAAAGCCGTCCCAAATATTTCAGCTGAGAGTATCGCAACTTGTCGTACGGGTGATTTTTATCTGGTGTTACTGACAATAGTTGTGACGATGATATTCGAGACGAAGAAAGTAGCACCAAACCGGGCAAGCTATTAGGAAAGCCGTCCCAAATATTTCAGCTGAGAGTATCGCAACTTGTCGTACGGGTGGATGATTCCATGTTAGGTAATACTGAGGGAGAATTAGGTGAGTTTTGGTTCATTTTACTAAACCAATTCCCTCATGTCTTCATTCCCAACTGGAAAATTGACTTTGAAAACCATCACCCAAAGAGGGTTGAAAACAGGAAAATTCAGCAAACGACTAGTGAATAGTGCCTCGCAACTCCTTGGAATTTCGTGAGATGCGCGCTACCGATGATTCCCCTATGAACAAGATTCCCAATAAATATGACAGAATTATACAGTGTTCCTCGACCTTTCAGCGTAGCTTGGCTTCACTTACAGGATAAAATATCACTTGAAAACACCCAGAAGTAACTTACTTTCCGCCTAGTTTGGACAGCTCTTTGACTAGCTCAGGAACCAGAGTCTTGTGCCCGGCAGCCAGGCTACTGACGCCAACCACATGAACATCTGCATCTACAGCCTGTTGAGCAGCTTCACTTGGAGTCTTCAAGTAGTAGGTAGAGAAAGGAAACACTGTATGAATAGGTCGATAGATTTTGATGAAGATATTGTCCGAAATGAAGATAGTCAACTCAGTAGTACAGAACGGTGTCCACACAATAGTAAAACTCATAGGGCTGAGCAGTTATGCTCCAGTGTGGCATACGGCAGGACAAACATGTGAAATTGACATAAGCTGTTTATTTTCCAGTTTGAATATCTTTAGGCAATTGCAAACGATAGTTTTTAACTCAAAGACAACAAAACAGTTTTCATAAAGGGAACTACTCACAAGGTTGCTGAAAACTCTTCGACATCCCACGACCGGTTTCATAAACGAGATGTTCAATTGGGTCTCTCGTGAAAACCATGTTGATTTGCAAATGAGTGTACTTCTCGATAGCAAAATAGTATTCGAAACAATGGGTTGCCGAAAGGCATCATATCAGTACTAATAGATAAAAATCCACTATTAGTGCTGTGATATTTCGCTGCCAGGGTGGATGTCGCTTAGGCTTCAATAATAGCATTCTTACTTTCTATGCGCTGAAAGGGTGTTAAAATATATTTTTTATTCCAAGCGGAGCGTGATTTTTCCCTAAGCCATCTGGAGCGATTGGGCGGTTTCATAGTGTCATGAACATCCGGAAAGAAGTTTACAGTGAAACGGCGCGTCAGGTCCACATTTATGGTTAAATACCCCATACGTTTCTCATTACCAGCTGCGTTCTCCAGAGCTGCCCAGTCTCCACGTTCCTGTTTAATCACTGATAATATCTATGCTAAGGCGATTTCTCGGGGAACGCGCTGTGGCGTGAAACTTCTTCCGGGTAGCAGGAATTAGACTATATTGACGACATCCTTCTGGTAGGATATGACATTCAATGGCTGCAGAACACACTGACTGTCTCACAGTGGAAGTAAACCAGAGTGGCATGGCTCTTCCCACCAACGAAGTGCAAAATCCTTGCTCAGGATCTGTAATCACACTCTTCGTTGCCGGTTGAGTAATTTATGTGTATGAACGCTTTGAGAAGCCGATGCCTTCAAACAGATCCAACTACCAAAATCAGGTAGAGGATCACCAAGGCCTTCGAAAATCTCCAACACCTCTAGCGTCGGCGTTATACCAGCCTTCCGTGGAGAACTCAAGTTCATAAAGTGTCCGTTGATTTAATACCAATAAGGGTGTAAGGGATGACCTTTCCGAACTTGAGGTAGCACACGACTCATCATGTCCAGCGATTGTTTCGAAAGAAGCAACTTGCGCTTCTGGCGGCATCAGCGGGTAAGTTATGTCGAGATGTGACGACACACATTTTAGGACGTAATGACGGCGAACTGGCGAACGTTATGAACCACTGTCGACTCCGCTGGTTAGGTGTGTGTTGAAGATAGCAATCCAACGGCTTTCATGGCATTCTGTCTTTGTAGAAATGGGTGAGGGATGAAAAACATCGAAGATTAGAAAACTGCTTGCCACAGAGAGACGAGGGCTCGGCTGTCCTCTGCCAGACCGTGTAAACTCCCTGGTTTGGGTCCGGAAGACAGTGTCTGCATTTGGCTGAAATGGCCCGGAAATGACTTGAGGATCAGTATGTCTGTCCAAGACCTATGAAAGAAGCCGTTGAAATAATCTGTTTGCTGGGTGTGGGATTTTTGAGTCGAAGTCTCGAGGAAGGTGCTCAGGCAACATCGCCCTGGAAGAAGTACCTCCCACCCGATTAAAATAGTAGCGGGAACTTCATTACGTTCTTCAGTTTCCAATCTGGTTTACGCCCCCTGTTTCTTCAATAATTCGATTCTGGTTTGTAGCCATCTAACAAGGGAAGGGCTAATTGGGTATAATAGAAACCAGAAGTGAATGTGTCTTTGAATTCATAAGGGTCGTAGAACAATGCCGAATACCTCAATTCGGGACGTACTGTTATTAGTACAGGGTGAGCCAAACGGCAAACCAAACCGGAGGCTTAAAGTAGAGAATTATATAAGTTGGACGTATACTGACCAACGGTTGGTCCCCGGAAAGTAGCTCTGGTTTATTCATGGAGCACTTTATGTGGCTCGGACGGAATTGGTGGAGACGAAGAGGAAGACGAATCTATAGAGCCAACTTGTGCTACGTATCAAGCTCAAAGTGGCTCAGTGGTAACGTCACGAACCTACTGACCGGAAGGTCCGTGGTTCGAACCCAACCTCTGAGTCTCGATTGCTCCTGTCTAGGCTTGGGCAACCCGGCAGTATCTCGGCCTTCTTGCTTTTTTGGGGTGGCATGGTATCTAGATTCTAAAGGGGTGTCACAACAGAACCATTATATTATTATCATTATTATTATTGCTAGGTGTAGCGTCAAGCTGGATGCAACTAGCGTACAAGTGCGGAAATTTTTTGCCATCTTTATGTCAGAATTATAAGTGTTATGGAGTAGTAGTATTAGCGAAGCTGTAACAAGGCAGTTAAAAAGTGGGTATTTGGTTGTGCATTCGGCGCGTCACCTGAGCGGATCATCCATAGTACAACAGTAGTGTTTTCAGTAGCAATGAAAATGACCCTAATATACCTAGCAAGTGAGTTCAGAGATCAGAAAGTAAATGTGGTCAGACCTCAAAAACGTCGACCACATAAGTGTTTTCGTACTTATTAGCATCATCATGTGGGCGCAGAGAGATCCGACAATTGACCCTTCACGATGTTGTCCCAAGGATCACGGATAGGCCAACTAATACGTGCATCAGTTTAGGTTAGAAAGTGGCTGCAAGAAGCATTATGAGAATGATTAAGTGCATTTGACAAGTACATGAAGGCACAATTGCCGAGTCATCGATGAAACCTAAAGCAGCTGTTCAGCATCCGAACACAGTAGCGAAATTCCAACACTGTACAATGCTACCGAGAAAATGGAAACGTATTTCAATCAACAAACGAATGAGGGCCTACCGAGAATAGAGGTCCGACATCGACGTCAAAACCGAGATCCGAAAATCCGGTAGCAATAACTTTGCCACCACGGTCATGGCCGTCCTGTCCGAGTTTCGCCACCAGAATTCGAGGACGTCGACCTTCGTGGGCGGCAAAATCCTGAGGTGAAAGAAGTATGGTTCGAAGAGGACTGGATGAATTCAAAGCCAAGCGTTCAAGAAGAACCTTTTGTCCGTATCGGAAATAGCCCAAACGGTCTGGTGATGCACCGTGCTCTAGCGCAAAATCGCACTAGATGCAATTACAACTAATAATATAAATTGATTAGTAAAATCTATTATATATCATGCGAGCGCAGTAGAAACGCTGTGTTTACGCCTGTGTAAGTGGGTCATTATGATGCCAAGAACCACAACCACCAAATCCATGATACGTTGTCGGACAATGTTACACAAACATACACAAAAGCGCCAAACCTGGTAAGGAATCAACGAATCCACCAATGATAGTTTACCCGACGATTATCGTATGCGCGGCCACAGTTTACCCCTTAAGTCATCCGGATCGAAATAACACAAGACAGATGGATCCATGGACGAGCAAAATGGAGTTTGCTTCCGCTGTGCCTAAGCTGATGCACAACAGGAAGATCAGTCCACGAGAAGTAGGATCAAGGGAGCTAAATTCCAACCCAGTGTCATCCTGAACTAGACCAACTAGACCAAGACCGTCACGGAGTCAACGTGCTAAAGAAGTCAGATGCAGCAAAGTTCGCATCTGAGGCGCCCAGAAGAGCGTAGCTCATATCTGTGAGACGCACGAAGTCCCTTTATCGCTTGGCTTCCATAATAACAGTATTTTCTCATTTTAGTTCTCGTTCTGAACCTTCTAAGCTAGCGTTCTCGTCAAGACAACCACAAAAGGTTCACAATGTGGATTAACACCTAAAACCAGGTCCATAACACGTAGAGTGCGTCGCTTATAACGTGTACGCGGCGAGAATACTTTGGATATTCTGACGCTTTTTGGATGTGCCAATGGCAACCGGCATTCGGTAGATACTGGAACATGACTGGCCGTTGGGTCCACACTTTCGATCAATCAGAGCCTGTTTTGATGCTGGACTGGCAAGCGGCCTGATCTTTTGGCCAATCGCGTGCGTGATAGGCTTCTTGACCATAGTGGCGCCTAACTGCGAGTGCTAAAGCGTCTCCGGTGCGGGATCCCGCCTAACAGCTTCCGCAACACGTACTTTCGCGCAAACGCGAGAGAACCAAAGGGGTGAGGATGTATAAGCTGTGTCGAATTCACCAAGTGCGAGAGAACCAAAGGGGTGCGGATGTATAAGCTGTGTCGAATTCACCAAATGCGGCGGCAAATAAACCTCTTGGTGGACAGTGCATTCTGTGCGGCGGTAAATAAACCTCTTGGTGGACAGTGCATTCTTCGATCAGTTCCGGTAGCGCGTTCTGGGGTTATTCAGATGGCAACTGACGCTCTGTGAACCACTTAATCTCACACTAACTCGTGTGTACGGAAATAAATTAGTGTTTTGGACGATGTCTTCGTTTGTGATGTTCTTCAACCAAATTTCCGGTTAGACATCAGTGACTCTCTCCAGGTTCAGTTGGGCAAATATTTAAGATAATCAGGTAGTTTTTTTCTCATAAGTATTGCCTGGCACGTAAGGGATGTGCGGAACCCAATTTTCTCACGTCGCCCATTCGGGTTCCTTCCATTAATAAAGATTGGTGACAATCAGTTGACGACACACTATCAGCCTTGTTTTGTAGGGACCCCGAGTACCAACTCAGTTAATTTGTACTACTTCAGTGACAGTAAAAAGCAGTTAATTAACAATTATCATCCATCGCTAAGTATAACTTCGAAGATGGAAAACTATTTCAAAAAAGGTAGCCAGATGGGATTCCCGTAGGTTTACCAACAGACCAAGAATTGAAACGAGCGACTACGGTGGAACTTACTCGTTTTGGAGACTACTATAAGTAAAAAAGATTATCTCGGGAAATTATGGGTACCCAGAGGATTCTGGGCGTAAGAAGACTACACAAAATCCGCAGAAAGCCCATTTGGGGCACATCAGATGGTGTGAGAAAACCAATCTTCAAACTTGGTAGTAAGCAGACTCTTGAGCCCACTGGAATGGTATACTTGACGGAAGTGAAGATTCGGCGGGCTTTGAATTTCCGGTCACTGCTAAGTACAGCCGAGCAGCTGAACTGAACAAGAAGAATCCTCATCCAGTCTGCAGTCCCTGCGATTGCACCATGTGAATGAGTTCGAAAAATACCGTCCCCCTTAGTCCTACGGGTATATGAATAGCTTTGTAACGGATGCGGATGCACCAATACAGCTTTATAGTTATACCATATATATATATATATATATATGACCAACACAGTTCAGTGTCAACGTCCACACACCAAACGACGGCGAGCGAAATAAGGGTCCAGCAGTGTGGGTTGCGGTCGTCCATTCCGACGATAGACTCGTGATTCTCATTGGCCATGAGATCACACGGAATTTATGAGGAAACAAGTCAAGGCAGGCTCAGCAAACGGGATACGAACGCGCATGAGTAAGTTGGCATGATGTAGTTTGCAAGCGACCGTCCGAACTAAGTCACGTCGCATAACACACACAAATTGAAAAGCCATCGAGCCAGGTTTCGAAACACCTTTTCCAGGCTTGAAGCTTTAAGAATCTGAGACGCTGTATGGAAACTGTCTGGAAGTAGATAACATCAACATGCATCGCTTCCGCTGACGGATATGCGGGCTCGCCATAGAACCCTGCACCCATGGAGTGTGGAACGGCCTGCTCACAGTTAGTTAGTGGAGCGCACCCCGATAACCCGCAATGCGAATGAGTGTCGTTGCCTTCTGATGAATGTTTGCCGTCCATTGTTATTGTAGCGCGCCCCGAAGAACTGCAGACTGATCGATGATTGTCCTCTTGTGAGGCGACTTCATCGTTAGTTATCGGAGCGCACCCCGTGTAATAGTAACCCGGCCGGTTGTCGTGGCAACAGCCAATGCACCATCCATCCAAGGCCTGAGAGAAACAACGAACTTCCTTTTATCCTCATGTCTCTGTCTGATATATTGCCGTTTCCGAGACAAGTCCCGAGCATTCTCCATTTCCTCAAAGCTCCCCCGTAATTCGGCAAACACAGCCGAAGTCTTCGGATCATAGTGATGGGAAAAGCCAGGGGCCAGGAAAGGATCAGGCCGGAATGGGTCCATGACTGAAACTGTGACTCGGTGTCAAAGAGATCGGGTTGTCAATCCTATCTCACGAACTCTCGTCGTAAACTAACGCAACCAGAAGCAGGGAAACAAATGGCGAGAAGAGTATTTAAAAACTTCGATGGCTTTACTCGTTGGCCAACCTATCTATGCAGTCCGAAGATCCTTCGAGGTAAAAAAAAAAACTGCCACAGTTGGTCAGTGGCAAGGTTAACGCTATTCAAACAGTTGATGTGATGTAAAATGTTATCAACACACTCCAAATCGTTAACTTCGGGCTCTAATCTCTTGTTACACAGTTGGTGCAAGGTTAACGCTATTCAAACAGTTGATGTGATGTAAAATGTTATCAACACACTCCAAATCGTTAACTTCGGGCTCTAATCTCTTGTTACGAGGTCAGACATAACAGTATTATTGCACTCAGCAGCTGTGTTACAACCGCGGAAAGGCTAAGATATCTTTGGACGAAGTCGACTTGAGTATGTTTTTTAAATAAAAATATGTTGACTGACTGGCCCCAGGTTGTTGGAACGTAGTTCTACTCCCAAATTAGTCTAAACAACCCGGACCCAGCGAACCTTGCAACCCGATGGCGCTTCAAGGCAGAAAGTACTTCGGAAACTCAAAGAGGGCCTAGAGCCATAGGCCACAGTTCGAGTTGAGCGGGTCGAATAAAAGACATTGGTACAGAGGTACAAGATAAATCAAACTGTTGTCTAAACTATCCAGCGGCTGAGATTGGTTCCTGCTTTATAGTGTATTCCTAATATTGGCCTCATTACCAGTCGTTTTCTCGATTCCTTTATGTGAATCGGATTGTATTATATATGTATATGTATATGTACAACATATAATGTATGTATATAGTTAACGACGGTTCAGTAGATTGATACCAGTTATGCTGGAAAATTATACCTTTCTAGGCTGATAAAACTCAGCTGTAGAACAGGCTCTACCGTTTTTATTCCGCCAGCGCCATCTTCAGCAATAAGTGGATGCATCGGACGGCAACCGGTTAACAACACATTTCTCTCCGTAGCCAGGGTGGATGCGACAGCGGCCTTGACGCCAGTCACAATACGTTCATCGTACAGCACCACCATTTTACATACTTCGGTAGTTGTATGAGCTCTAACGGAAGTGTGCCTGATGAGGTCAGTGCATGAATATGAAAAGCTCGAATCAAGCTTGTTGAGTTGCATCACTTATGACGTCAAAAAGGCATACCGCAGCAAGGGCTTGTCGCAAGATATGGTGCCCCTGGACGGATGAACTGAGGCGTCTGCAGGTTTTTGACCACCGATGTCCCAGAAGCGTTGCTGGGACGACGTCAACGAATTCGTAACGAGGTAGTTATCTGTTTGTACAGCAGATACTTTAATCGCAGAAAACATCTGACAACCCCAACTGCGGTGGATAAGCCATGCCGAAACACCGTTTATCGAGATGAATGTTGTTCTGCGTGCCTCACTCAGAATGATGCAAACTGCGAGGTGGACAACGTGTGACATGGCAGAAGCGTGCGAAACATATTACGAAGAATTTAGGCGTTCCAGGATAAGGTCCGCGTGACTCTCCCTGAGTTCTAATAAAGACATTGCAAGACATGGGGGTTAATCGACGTCAGTGGACATCATGCTGTTCAGTCTCTGTCCGAATTGTCTGGGGGTGTAGGTACCCCAGAAGGTTACCACTAGGTCCCTCTATCAACCATTCTTTTCTTTTTACTCAAGTACAGTCAGATGAACGTTGCGGTTGTACAGCAATGAAACATCAGTATCAACACTGGTGTTGCTGTTTCTGATGATGATGACAACCAACAGCTCGCGAGTCAGTGAGTTATGTCAAGCGTTTCTATTCACTCGATAGATGGATAAATCTAACTAGGACCGGTAAGTTTCACTGAATACAAATGGGAGCGGACTTTGTGCAGAGGGTAAGAAAAAAACCTACTTCGACCGCCTTCATCACAGACTGCAGTTCATCGGATTTGGAGAACTGGCTCCGGTAGGCTCCGGAGACAAGGCGATCTGCAGCCTTATGCCGACCGTACACTTTGGACATTGCATCTGTGATCTCACCGACTGTACAACGGGCCCGTGCCGCTTCAATAGAGAGAGCAAGTAAGTTGTGACTGCGATCATCTGAGGCGCATGCACTTGTGATGGCAGCTAAACAGGTTTCGACCTGAAGCACGTTAGGGAAATGAGAAACATAAGCGGACATATTGTTTGAAAAGGCGCTGAAAAAGTGCAGCAGGCACTCCCCCGCAAATCATCAAGCATATAATCGTGGCATTAAATTTCATTGTGTGTAGTATGGCGATCGCAACCTACTACGAGCCCAAAAAACGAGAGTAAATCAGGTAACATCAGAGGCCGTGATGGACTTATAATCAAAGTGACAGTTCCGAGTACGAAGTAACATATAAGATATGACAAAATAGTAGCCAGTCGAAGTAGTCCATTGTATACAACAGTCCACTGCAACACGGCTCATTCGCATATCTGGTCCATACCATTCTGGTGCATAATTCGAATTCCCAAAGGACAGGGTTGCCCAGACAGGGCTATTATTTGACTCAATTCACAGTACCAAATTTTGAAACTTCCTGGACAATATCTGGTTAGTCATAGTTGGCTACGAGATATGTAGCATTCGCATCAGTTGCTTGAACAGACCCCTCTCCCGGTCTTGTTGAAACGAGAGTTATGCGAATTCTATGAGCCCCACAAGCACCCACGAATCATCAGATTCAAGTGTCTGTCATCTTCGGAAGATGTTAGTCTTGAATCTTGAACAGATCTCCCGGTCTTGTTGAAACGAGAGTTATGCGAATTCTATGAGCCCCACAAGCACCCACGAATCATCAGATTCAAGTGTCTGTCTGTCACGGAAGATGTTAGTCTTGAATGACGTCACGATGGTATACTGAAACGATCGGTGTACCGAAAACCTACTTGGTCAGGTCAATACATTAACTTTAGCAGCTTCGTGCCACTGAAGCAGAAACAGAACCTGATCCATAGCCTAACTAACACAGCGAAGAAAATATGCTCTGATCATGCACTGGAACAAGAATTCCGAACTCTCACCAACATCCTGAGAGACAATGGATTCCCCGACAAATTTATTACAAAGCATTTGAACAGGGAGGATGCAAACACCGTCACAGCCACAGCTGGAAAGAAACCAGTTTACATTAGCCTCCCGTTCAAGGGAGATATACCGGCCGATCTACTGAACAGAAGACTTTCCCCCAGTCTAAACAAAGTTTTTCCGGCCGCAAAACTCCGAACCTGGTTCACCAGCAATCATTTGTACCCCTTTAATCTCAAGGATAGAGTGCCTATCCACGCCCAAAATAC